GCAGCTTCTGCACTTGCACGGGGTACTGGCACTTCCACAGCCTGGGGAGGGAGGAAGGTGGCGCGTTACTCCGCGACTTCGCTTTGGACTCCTCTTTCTCTATGTTCCTGGAGACCCCGCCAAGGGTCTCAAACCTTTTATTGTACTTTTACGGGGCGGCAGCGCATTCCCAATAGAGTAAAAGCAAATCCCAGTGCAAAGCACTCCCAGACGCGTCAGATACCCCATTGAGCTCTCACGGGCATTCGCTCCTCACAACCGGCTCAGCAGGCGGCGAGGTTACTCAGTCCGCCCACGAGTTCCTTCTAGAGAGTCGACATCATTCCCGGTCCTGTTACAGGTTTGGGGGTACAGTAGGTCCTTACTTAACACTGTTGACGTGTTCTTGGGAACTGCGACTATAAGCAAAACGACACACAGCGGGTTCCCCAACAGTGTTTCCTTGGAGTTGTTTTGTCATGAGAGAAAAAAATCGGTTTTGTTATATGTGGTTTTGCTTAAAGTTGCAGTTTCCAAGAACCTGTCCCCGACGTTAAGGGAGGGCTCACTGCACAGTGGCAGACGAGGCCAAGTCTCCAACTTCACCAAGCTCACGTCCTAGAGGAGGAGAAAGAAACGGGTGTTTAAATAGATACACAGGATCACACTCATTGTACAGATGGGGAAACAGGCCCATTAAATGTCAGTTAGGAAAACCCAGGACTGACTCTGCCCCACTTCGACTTCCGAGGCTGTGGTTACCGCCGGGCCCTGCTGAAGGCCGCGCCGCTGCTGGAGACGCTGCTTCAAACATGCGCTTTCAGCTCAGCGTGCTACCTTCGCGGCGCAGCTGATCACTGTAAGTCCTTGGACCACGTCACGATCTCCAAATCCATCATGCCGCGTTCCCCAGTCCATCTCCCCTTTCCTCCTGCCCGCCTCGGACCCCAGGGTCCACCACAGCCACGCTAGGGCCTTCCTGGCTACACCCACGTGCCAAAACTTGAACCCTGGGTGAACTTGACCGCCGCAAGCTGACCACACTGGACAAGACAGTTACTTGACCGAGAAAACTGCTATCGACATAAACGTGCCATGAGCAACCTCGAACGGGCGCCGATGCCGCCAGCCTTCTAATTCCCTGGCCACGTCTCGTAATAATTCCTCCAGTTATAACCGCATGTCTTCGCTCCCGAGGGTGCCCTTAACCTGTATTTTAACTCTGAATACGAGGTGCTAAATGACAAGTACCTTGTCTACCCTCTAACGCGGAAACCCGTCGAGGAACCATGGTTCTCTCACGAAGGAAACCCCCTATTCTTAAAGGACAGTCCTGATTCACTTCCTGCGAACCCCCCAGCCCAGAGCTGTTCAGCACGGCGGCCCCCGCCTCTCATGCAGTGGACCTTGCCCCTCGGTGCCGGGCATGTTCTGACACCGTCTCAACAGAAGCCTCTTGACTTGAGCCTCCTCAGCCTCCAGCCCTTCCCAGTTCCTTCTCTCTCCTCCTGTGCAGAACTTTTCTCAGATCGCTCACACACGACCTTTCAACGTCCTCTTCCATTCTTCAGTCCTCCCCAGCCTGACCTCTGCTAGTCACACTCTGCTGGGACCACTCCACAAGGTCACCGAGCCCCGAGTCACCACAGTCAGCGGTGCCCTTCTCATCTCATGCCACCGCTCAGCAGCAGCAGGCGTGGCGCTCCCTGTCTTCTCTCAGCTTGTGGTGCCACATCCCACTGGTTCTCTCCCTCGCGTCCTGCTGCTGCTCCTCGCCCTGCTGCCGCTTCTCCTTCTCACCTTCCGACAACCAGAGACAGCACCGTAGTGTTTGGCGTGTTCTAGGCACTGCCCAAACGCCTCCATGTGCCAACTTCTTAAGTTCTCGTGACCACCCTAGGAGATGTGCCCCATAGCACAGATAATAAAGTGGAGACACAGAATGAGAAAGTAAGACAAGATCCCAGCCGCCAGCGTGGGTCCAGAGCTGACCACTGTCTTGCATGGCCCCTCAACCCTGAACTTCTGGGGGTTCAGTCTCACCAATAATCCCTTCCTAGGGATCACGACCAATGGCTTTAAACATGACCAACGACTTTAAAAGCCTGTCCCTTTATGCCAATGGCGCCGAAAATTGTATCTCTAGCTTGGACCCTGAGCAGAGCTGTATACACGAGGAATTATAACTTAGCCACTTGAAAACCTCTTCTTGGATGAGTAGACATCTCATACTTTTCCAAATTCACTTTTGAGCCATATAAAGCCTAACACCTGCCTCTCCTGCATCTTCCATTTCGGCAACTAGCACCTCCGTCCTCCACCTGCTCACATCAGGCACCCACGTGCGGTCTCCTGACGCTCACTGATGGCCAGACTGCCGCACCCAGCCTGCCCAGTCCCACCCGTCACCCTCCCCCTCCACAGCTGCCGCCACTGTCCTCAGCTCAGGCCAGCACCACCCCTCCCCTGGGTTATGGCAACAGCATCTTCCCAGGTCCACTTGCTTTTAATGCTGCAGGTCACTCTCCACAGGTAGCCAGAGTCAGCGCTTAGTAACTAAACCATGTGACAACTTCCCACCACGTTGTGGGTTTTACTCTAGCCCCGCCCATAGGCATCACCAGCCCCTGCCTACGTCTCCTTGACCGCCTCTCTCGCAACTTGGTTCCAGACACACCGTCCCAGGGCAAGAAACCAAAGGGCAAATTCATCTCAGGTCTTTATTCACAGATGGTTAAAACCCCCAGATAGTGAAGTCTCCACTTAAAATGCCCCGTCTTCCAAGGAGCCCTAGAACCTCCAGACCACACTAGGCTTGCTGTTCTGTGTTCCCAAATCATGCCCAATACTTTCCCTTCGTAGCCTTGGTCTCCGTGTAACTTGAAGTGTGTCTAAGTCCTTTGCTAGATCATACTTTCCGTGAGATTGTTTTTGTCACTGCATCCCCAGGACCTGGCTCGTGGATCAAAAGAATCCTGGAGGGTGACGGTTGCCCATATATTAATATGGCTTTGTGGGGAATCACTCAAGTCTCTCTGAGGCAAATCCCTGTACCAAGGGGAAGAGAAGAGGAACAAATACTCTCACTTCTCTTGGTCACTGGGATGGCTTCCTCTTGTGCCCAGGACGAGTGAGCAGCAGAGCTGGGATCTGAACTCAGGTACACGTCCCACAGTCCTGTCATGCCACCTTTTACTCCACTTAGACGGAAGTTGGCTCGGATTGGAAGATAGTGCTAGAAAATCTGACATCTGTAGTCTTTATGGGGTGAGGGGTATTGAGGGGAAAGAAAATCACCTGCTTCTTAGAAGGTAGAGAGAACACGGGCATCTGTGGTAAACATTACACCATGTTACTGAGGTGAAATTCACATCATGTCAACTGAACCATTTTAAAGTGAACATTTCAACGACATTTCTTACATTCACTACATGACATGTTGTACAACCACCCCCTCTATCTAGTTCCCAAACATTCTCATCTTCCCACAAGGAAACCCTGCACCCACGAAACAGCTGTTTTTCACTTCCCTTCCCACTCTCCAGCCGGCCTACGGATTTGCCTGCTCTGGATGTTTCACAGAAATGGAGTCACACAGTGTGTAGCCTCCGCGCCTGGTCCATCCGCACTGCAGCCTGTATCCGCACGTGGTCCTGTCCCACGGCTGAATGGTGCGCCCTGTATGGACAGACCACGCTTTGCCCATTCGTTCGCCCCTCCAATGGGAGCGCAGCCTGTTCTCACTTTTTGGCTATTGTGAGTTGCACTTCTGTGCACACATACACATTTGTACTCGACTGTCTCTTTATGGTTCTTCTGACATCTGCGTAAGTGTGGAATTGCCAGGTCACATGGTAAGTGTCTCACCAACCTCGTCTTTTGTCCCTGCTCCTTCCCTCACTCCAGGCCTGCTGCTCTGGGCATCTTTGCTCTTGAATCTCTCAGCTAGAAAGGGGCCTGCCTCATCTTCACGCAGCTGCCTCTGCTCTTGAGGACTCAGCTCAAACACCTGTTTTGTAGTGAGAACTTTTGACCACGTAGTCTAAATCCATCCTGTACTGATCACTCCCTCATACTATTTAGTTTCTTTCTTAGTACTTACCACCTGTAGTCATCCTAAATGTAAGTTTTTCATTGTGATAAAATATATAACATAAAATTGACTATCTTAACCATTTTTTTTGAGACAGGGTCTCTTTTTACGTCCCAGGCTGGCAATCATAGTTCATTATAACTTTGAATTCCTGGGCCCAAGGGTACCCCCCTCTCTCAGCCTCCTGAGCAGCTGGGACTACAGGCACATGCCAGCACACCTGGCCAATTTTTAAATTTTTTATAGAGACAGGGTCTTGGTATGTTGCCCAGGCTGGTCTATGAACTCCTGGGCTCAAGCGATCCTCCCGCCTTGGCCTCCCAGAGTGTTGAGGTGACAGGCGTGAGCCACCGCCCCTGGCCATTAACCGTTTTCAAGGGCATAGTTCAGTAGCGTTAATTACTGTCACATTGTGCAGCCATCACCACCATCCGTCTTCAGAACTCCTTTCATCTGTGAAACAAAAACTCTGCACCCATTAAACAATGACTCCCCAATCCCTCCCCTTGTCCCCTGGAAACTACCATTCTACTTTCTGTCTCTATGAATTTGACTATTCTAGGTACCTCATACACATGGAATCACACAGCATTTGTCTTTTTATGACTGGCTTATTTCGTTTGGCATAATGAACCTAAAAGATCATATGTATTGCAGCGTATGTCAGAATTTCCTTTCTTTTTAAGGCTGAATAAAATTCCATTATAGGCATATACTACCTTCTGTTTATTCATTTGTCTGTGAACACCTGGTTACTTTCACTTCTTATCTCTCCACCCCCACAACCCACCCAAAAAAGCAAGCTCCATGATATCAGGCACCCTGCCTCTATCTCCCAAATCCTGGTTTCTCCAGCACCCAGCAGTGTTCAGAGCATGGTGGGCACTCATTGGTTGTACAAAGATCTGGTTGCAAAGCCACACTCTCAACTGTTCTCATAAACCGCTTCTCCACCAACTAACATGACCATAAGAGAAGGTTTGTATCTCCAAGGACAGTTGCCTGGGACTTACCCAATGACCTGTAGACTACAGAGGGGATGTGCAAAGGCTGAGCACAGCTTCACCATTCCTTCGGGACTGAAGCTGTTCTGCACCAAGTTCAGACTGGTCAGGCTCTGGTTGCAGGAGAGGGTGGAGGAGAGCACCTCGCAGCAATTGGAGGTCAATCCACATGCCTGCAACCTGCAGGGTCAAGACACCCAGGAAATAACCCTGAAGAGCAACAATGGCGCCTTCATTCAACCCAAAAGAATTTCACCTCGATGTTTAAAAAAATTAAAAGAAAAAAAAGTGGTGGGCTCTATCACCAGAGTTTCTGGTTTCGTAATTTCCGGGGAGGGACTCAAATATTTGCATTCCTAATGCATTCCCAGGTGATGCCACTACTCTTGGTTCTCACTTTGAGAGCTGGATGACTCAAATCATAGTTGTGGAAAGAATGAAAGATAAAGGCTTGTAACAAAGGAATGTAACAAGGAACGTGGGGGGAAAGACTTGCTGAGACAGTGACTTTGTTTCTAAAAATCAAAGATGAGGAGAAGTAGGCTACGAGAAGGGAGGATGTATCACTGTGTACACTGACCCAAGAAACTGCACCCACATCAGGCTGTGGAGGGAACGGGGGGTGTCTTGGAGAAACAGCCGACCGGACGGCCAGAGCACAGTCCGAGACAGTGGTATGGAATGAGGTTGGACATTTTAAGGCTGTAGTAAGGATTTAGGGTTTTATCTGAAGAGCAACGGAAAGCCAAGGAACATCATTACATGCAATAATGGTATTGTAGAAGAGTGTTCTATTTTTGGAGATGCGTGTGGAGATATTTTCAGGGCAGAATGTCAAAAATACATAACTTGCTGTGAAATAGTTCACCAGAGAGAAAAAATACCAATGATTATGTAAACTAGGTGGTGGATGTATAGGTTTTAAGTGTCTTAATTGTTCAGGACTGTGCATTTTGCAATTCTCACAATAGAGTAAGCAGCTGGTGAGACACAGCTCAATTCGTTCCAGCCGCCTACAGCTAGACTACACAATGGGATCAAATGAAGGCTTGCTTTCTTTCTTTTGGGTTTTGCTTCTAAAATAACATCTAAATATTTATAAAGACAGAAAATATCTGGTAGGGAGGGCTGAGGATCTCAGCAAGGGGTAGGTAAACCAACGATGGTATAAGGTGCTGCACAGACAGGTGACCGTGAGATTCCCAGTGGGGGTGACATTTATGACCGCAGGGATGCTTTCCTCCTCGTTACAGAAGGCGGGGCATGCTGGTGCAGGTAACAGTCGGCTTCTCGACAGAAAGTGTAGGGCTTCCTGGTAAATGGCTTCAGACTTACTCAAAGGGGTAGGGTAATTCGTTAAGTACCAGGAAGAACAAGGGGGGCCCCAAATGTCTCCAGAGGATGCAGCTGGTTCGAAATCATTGTTTCACGGAGTAGGGCAACAAGTGGAGCAGAAAAACCTAATACTGGGGAAACAGACTGACATCAGCAACCACTGACAGCATATGACCAACCCACACTTGTGTTGTTTTTGCTCCTGCCACTCTCAGCAACCTACGAGGGGGCAGAGGAACCAGGTTCACCAGAGCTTGGAGGGTTTGCAGGTGGACACAGTCAGGCACAGAAAGCTGAGAGACACACAGCACTTATAAGACTGATAAAGATGATAGAACATGGAAGTGAAAGAAATAGAACAAAAGCTAGGGATGGGACAGGATTACACACAGAGATGTGGAGGGGACAAAGACGGTGGCAACAGGCTTGAATGATGTGTGACTTAGAGAAGGAAACGGGTTGGCAGATCAAGCCCTTTGCCCAACAAAATAGGAACACAACCTTCCCTAGTGTCTCGGAGGTTTATGCGCCACGTACGTACGACGCTGGCACATGGTCAGCACTCGGCACGTGGCAGCTAACGTTACCTTCTGGAGTAGTTCACGGCGCTGCGCAACCGCCGCCTCTATCTAGTTACAGAACATTTTGTTGCCCCAAAAGGAAACACTGTACCCATTAAGCAGTCCCTCCTCTGCCCCTGGCGGCCCCTCATCTACTGTCCATGGACTGGACTATTCCGGATGTTTTCATACAAACGGAATCTCACACTATGTGGCTCTTCGTGTCTGGCTTCTTCCCCTTAGCATCACATCCATGTTGTAGCGTGTGTCACGCTTCATTCCTTTTTGTGGCTGAGCCACAGCCCATCGTATTGGAGCCCCGGGTGATTCTGATGCTTAGTACACTTCTGAGAACCACCAGTGTGACCACCTGCTTTTGCCCACCTTCCTCACTGGACCGTACCTGTCACGATGCCACACACCATTTAGCACCATGCCCAGCACACAGGGTTGTGCAGTGAGCACTTAAGGGCTTTCTACCTCCAGATCTTGCTCCCGCCCAAGCACTTGCTGTTTCATTCATCTCATACGTGGGTGTGGAGCTGGAATCGATACCCAGATCTGACTCCGCCAAGGGTACGTCCTGTCTAACTTGAGGGAGTCGTGAGAACATCGACCTTGTCCAAGCAGCTTCACGCTTGGGCCCCCACTTCCTCCAAGCCCAGCCCTCACAGGGGTGATCCAGGGGGTTACCCGAGTCTCCTCAGAGAGCCCTTCTCGTGCTTCAGTCCCTCGCAGAGCACCGCAACCCCACTGTCACCCACGGCATTGGAGGCAAGGTCCAAGCTCTTCAGGTGTTTGCTTCTCGTGATCACAGAGGACAGATTTGTGCAGCAAGCAGCGGTGAGGTGGCACCCCACCAACCTGCAAGACACAGGGGAGTGTCATCTGTCTTCTGAGCAAAGTGCTATGGTGGGATAATGCTCAGGACCATTAACAGGGTTCCCTGTAGTCCTTCCTGACAAGGGACATCTCTGTCCCTTCCTGTGAGTGTCCTAAACTGTGTGGTATCTGTCGGGTCAGGAGAGAGGTGGTGGTGGAGGGTGGGGGAAATGTTGGTTGTGACTGATGGTACCTTTGGAAAAAGGAGCACACCAGAGTTTGTCTCTTGCCTGGAGTTTGCTTCAAGGTCTCCATGACGGGGGAGGAAGAGAGAAACGAAGCGTGAGCGAGTAGATGTCAGCAGAGCCCCTGGCAAAGGGGCAGAGCACCGACGGGAGACAGAAGGCAACAGGAGTCATGGAAACACAGGTGGGGTCTGGGACCTGAAAGCGGGGAGTCTCGTGCTTCTATTCCCACATCCACTCGGGTGGAAATGGCCCCCACGATGATGGCTGGATGGTTTATCTGAGTAGAGGTGACTGAGACAGTCTCAGAGCCCCACATTCCCACGCTTTTCGTGTGCTAGGAGTAGAACGACGCCCTTGGGGCTGAGAGGCGTGAGGGGCTCCGTCGTGAGGGTTCTCACCTGGAGACCCTGGGGATGACCTAGTCTCTGATGCTAGCTTGGAGGAATGACGACGCTCTGCCTGGGAAGAGAAGCACAGGACTCGCTCCGCATCTGACCCCAGACCCTACCCGTGTTTCAGTAACTTCTATTACCTTCTCTCCCCCTCAGGGCCCTGCCAGTCTCTATACATGCGTACTTTGTTTCTCTCTTCCTACGTCATCCTGGAGATCCTGACGCAGACTCCAGGTGGAAGACAAACTCTGGTGTACTCGTTTCTTTTTCCAAGGATACTGTCAATCACACCCAACATTTCCCCTACCCTCCACTCTCATCCCTTTCCTGAGGAACCAGATAATCTCACATTTAAATGCAACCCCAAAGAAAGGACATCTCTAACTGACTGAGATTGTCTCTACACCTTGCGGAAGTGGGGCTGGAAATACCAGTTTAATTAAAACAAATAGGGGAATCCGTACTTGGGGGCATTCGGAAGTCTGTGAACTGTGATCTACATTCAACTCCTTTACCACTGGGAAGGGAGCGATCTCAAAATGGCCCCATGCTTTGGTCCATTGAGTCTACCTTTGTCATTGGTAAGAATAGTACCAAGTGCACAAAGAGAGATAAAGTGCTTGTGACTAAAACACTGGACATATGCCAAGTGTCCGGCTGGGGATGTTTGATGTCACGAAACACCGTTACATAGAATACCATCCGTGTTTCATTTACTATAATCTGCATATTGTCAGAGACGGAATGTGGTATCGAAGCCAAGGTTTTGGTTCTTTGGGAGTTCTGGTTCTCCGCTAGATGCAATTGGCGGTGGGGTGACTACAGGAGATTAGACACGAACTATTTACAGTTCTGTGCCTGCCGCACAACAAGAATGAACTGCCTGCCAGCTACTGTGATTCCTTCTTTGTAAAACATTAAATGCATGTATTCATCCAGGAAAAAACCCCAGGAGACACCCAAACTACAAACAACGATGACTGTGAGGCTACAGACATACCCCTGCTCATTGAGATCTTTCAGCTTTTCTACGGTCTGCGTTAAGGACAGAACACACCTATCAAACAGACACATTCCAAAGAGGGGTGAAGAAATTTGAGCCCCAGAGGGAAAGAGGTTAAGAGAGAGACAAGTGCTCCCTGTTCCACATGCAGAGGAGCAGCTGGAGTTTAACTGCAGGCACGACAACCTCCTCTGAAAACCAGCAGGTTTAGGTACGAAGGGTGGTTCGGAACTCCCGATTCCCGAGTGTTTTCTCTGCCCTTCCCACAGCTGTGGCAACGTCGACACATCAGCTCACCTAGAGCATCCCCTGGCACATCACCACCCACGGACCCTGGGACTAGCTTTTGGTTCCATTCTAGTGACCTTCCAGGACCCCCAGGCCCCAATGAGGAAGCCTCACCCCCAGCCCCCGCGGGGAACTCACTCCAGGTCCTGCAGCTGACACCACGTTTTCAGCATGACCTTGCACAGAAGGTTCACGCCCTCGTCCTGCAGTGGGTTCCAGTTCAGACTCAGGTGTGTCAGGAGTGTGTTGCCCATCATCGCTATCACAAGGAAATCACAGGTGTCGACGTTGACGCCACACTGGTTTAGTCTGTGGGGCACACAGGGGAAGGAGAGGGTGACGCTAGTTCCCCAGCGTGACCCTGGGAAAACTGCTTGACTTCTCCCGACCCAGCTGCTCCCATGCAGGGAGGAGTCATATGTGTGTTTAAAGTGCTGTGGGCTTAGACGATGGGATGATCACAAAGCGCCTGGCAGTGACTGGCGTGACGCTCGGGCTGGATGCCCATCAATGTCCTCGGACCTTTTGTTTTCATACTCAACGTAGTTCCTAAGGCTGCTACAACAAATGACCACAAACTCAGTTGCTTACAGCACGTATTTGTTATCTTACTGTTCTGGAGGTCAGAGGTCAGTCAAGGCGTCACAGGGCTGCCTTCCTCCTGGGGGCTGGAGGGAGCTGTTTCCTGCCTTCTCCAGCCTCTAGAGGCACCTGCAGCCTGACACCTGGCCCCCAGCCAGCAGGGGCCCCACCCTAAGCTCCATCGTTGCGTCCCCTGCCACTTTCCTTTCCTTAGAAGGACACAGTGACCGCCTTGGGGCCACCCAGAAAATCCACCAGGGTAATGTCCCCACCTCAGGATGCTTAACCACATCCACAAAGTCCCTTTTGCCATGTAAGGTCATAGTTACAGGTTCCAGGGATCGGGACATGGACATGTTTTGGGGGTGGGTCACTATTCTACCCATAAAAACTCAGCATCTCCCTGTCCTCCCTCCCCTGGGGGACCTTGGAGCTCCTCGGTAGGCAGCCACACACGTTCAGGTAATGGTCTTTAACAGAATTTCTGGCTACACGTACAGCATTAACACAAGTATTTTTTGCTCATATGAAGTTATTGTAGACAAACTGGTCAATAAAGTGAAGTGACCCCAAGGCAGAGTGAGCAGACGGTATAGCTGGCCCTCTGCATCTGCAGATTCAACCAATTGTACATCAAAAATATTTTTTAAAAAACCCCAAAAATATAACAATAAAGAATAATACAAATAAAAGCATAGTATAGCCATTTACATAGCATTGACATTCACTAGGTATTAGCGGCAATCTAGAGATGATTCAAAGTACACGGGAGGATGTGCGTAGGTCACGTGCAAACATTTCACACAAGGGACGTGAGCATCCGTGGAGGGAGGCCGTTATTGGTGGAATCAACCCCCTACAGATAAAGAGGGAAAATTGTATTGAACAGGAACAAAAATCTCTCATTCTCACAAACCAAAGATTTATGATAAAAGAGTAATTTGGCAGCATAAGGCGGCAGTTTTTAAAGGAGCTACGTGGGCACCTTGTTTCACAATAGCAAGAGGACATGGTTCACGTCAGTCTGTGTGTGGGGTTGGTGCTCCTTGGAGTCACACAACAGTCTCTGTGACTGTGGCTTTGGCCTGGGCCACCACTGCCACCTGAAAGTCTCATTTATTATCCCTCCCACACCAGGGTTTAAACTACATAGAAACAGGAACCGTATCAGTCTTTCTCCCCCGTGACGCTAGCAGCTGAGTGTTTGCCCACAGCAGGTGCTTAGTAAATACTTTCAATCCTCATTGTTCACAGACTCTGTAGGCGGGAGTTTTCCTACTTGCTAAAATTTATTGGTAACCCCCAAAATCCCCACCGGCGGCTCTCCCGGCCCTTCTGACATGCCCGAGTGCAGGCAGAGTCGCCAGTCTCACGTGTTCCAGTTGAGGCTGAACTTGTTTCGGCTCGCACGCTGTGAACACGTGTCCTTTCTGAGGGGTGTTTAGTGCTGCATTTGTTGATTTTTTGTGCTTTATGGTGATTTTGCTATTTAAAACAGCCCCAAGCATAGTGCCGCAGTGCTGTCTGGTCATGACATCCCCTGCACGTGTCAGATACGCTCCATTCAGGCACGAGCTGAGGCGCTGCTGGTTGGAGCTCACTGTTCACGAATCAACGATATGTATTAAATAAGGTGCCTCTGTACAGAAACAGGCAAACCAAGGTGAAGTCTTTGATCAGTCAATGACAACGTGACCAGAGGCTCCCAGAAACCTAACCCCACATTGCCCCAAGGCAATGGCTCAGTGTTGGTTAATTCCGTGTTTGGCTAATTTCTGGGGTGACCTTACAGAACACAATATCCTCAAATTACGAGAATCGGTTGTTTGAATGACAACTTCCCACTGTAAGAAAACACAAAAAAATGCAGGTTGGGCGCGATGGCTCACGCCTGTAATCCTAGCACTCTGGGAGGCCGAGGCGGGAGGATCACTTGAGACCAGCCTGAGCAAGGGTGAGACCCCATCTCTACCAAAAATAGAAAAAATTAGCCGGGCATGGTGACACACCCCTGTAATCCCAGCCACTCAGGAGGGTGAGGCAGGAGGATCATTTGAGCCTAGAAGTTGGAAGGTTGCAGTGAGCTATGATGATGCCATGACATTTTACCTGGGGCAACAGAATGAGACTCTGTCTTAAAAAAAGAAAAAAAGAAAAACCAAAAATGAAAAACAAACAAGGAAACATAAAGGCAGAGGTGGAATTTTCCAAAGAAGGATGAGATCTGGGAGATGATCACCGGGACAGGGTTCAGCACGTACCAAGTCCCTCCAAGACTATTTCCACTCTCCCCACTGGTTTGTGCTTTGAGCACAAGACCAGGCTATTTGTTAGAAAGTGATGAAGCCGCCCCCAGTGAAGCAAGCGCGACTCACATCAGCCTCCGCAGACTGCAGCTGGGCAGCCTTATGGACTGGCACAGCATGTACATGCCCTCGATGCCCAAATGGTTGCTGGACAGGCACAGGTGCGTCAGGCTCCGGTTGCTGTCCAGGGCTGAGGCCAGGGCATGGCAGCCCACAGCTGTGAGGCTGCAGCTCTCCAACCTGCAGGAAGAGAACCCCGAGGGGAAATGAGGGGAGTCTCACCTCTCCCTCCTCTGCAAGGAGGGGAAAGAAACATCACCCACATTGACCCGTCCTTGCAGATGAATGGTAAGGTCCCAGCAGGTCTGCCTTTAACCTGCAAACTCAACTCCAGTGCTTCAGCCCCCAAATACCCTAAATCGTATCCTGGGCGATGACGTCTGTCAGTCACAGCGGGAAACGGGTGGGTGATGTGCACCTACTCTCTGCCATTTCTAGCGCCCACATGGCCTACGATGGAAGACTTTGCCAAAATGAGTGATTTTCCTATTTAAAAGTATGGCATTTAACACATCATGACCCTTTTACGTAAGCTCCGTCTGTTTTGTCGAACGTTAAGAAGTTTTCACGTAGCTTTGAAACGATTCCAAACACTTACATAGTTTGCTACGCGAGTGACGTTTTGCTGCAACAAGAACTTGGAGTGAACTCTCCCCCACGATCCCTCCCGCCGCGAGAACGTGACCACACCTCAGCGGATCCCACATGTGAGTTACTGACCTCGACTGCCAGACTTCAAAATACGTATAAACCTGAGAGTTTGCCAGACTTGGAGAGCTCGGGCCGTGGCAGGCTACACTGTCAGCCACTTCTCCGAGGAGGACAGCCCAGGCTGTGACGGGGCCACACCGTGTCACCGTTTGACTCAGGAGCCTCACGGCCAACACCAGAGTCCCACGCCAGTGTCCAGGGACCTCACACGTCGTCACGGATCTCCACTGTGTCAATCGAGCCAATTTCTCCAAGAACCGCTCATGTCCACCGTGAAATTTAATTAGACTTTACTTTCCACAGAGGCCTGCTTACATCCGAATTGAGCAACTTGACTTTAATAATTTTTGAACTCACTTGCCATGTGGCTAATACACCTCGTCCATCCAGTGTATTCCTGGGAGGTTTTGTTCTCGTTCTTCTCCTCCCTTTAAGCGTTATGAGCCCAAGGGAAAAAAGTTCTTTGTGTGGCAATCAGCTGACTCGTGCAATCGTACTTTGATCATCTCCCTCCTTTAGGCATACGAAACAGAGCTACAGTGCTTGAAAACAACTTGAGTGGCGCCTCTGTCATGGGGCCGCGGCAAAGTTAAATGCACCAACACAGGTGAAGGACTGAGGACAACACGTTGCAAATAGCACACGCTTAGCATCACCGTCTCCTGACGAAGGAAGACGCGTGGGCTGGGTCAGACGGATGGAGAGAAAGGAACATTGACTTCTAGTGAGGTTCCCACTGCCACCCCCATCCTTTAAACGGTAATTTGTGCTACGGTTGAGCATCCCTTGTCCGAAATGCTTGGGACCAGAAGCAGTTTAGATTTCAGGCTTTTCTTCGGGTTTTGTAATATTTGTATCATATTTACCAGTTGAGCATCCCTCGTCTGAAAATCCAAAGTGCTCCAGTGAGCATTTCCGTCGAGCATCATGTCAGTGTTCAAAGTGCCATCTTTTGGAGCATTTCAGATTTTCGGATGAGGGATGCTCAACCTGTCCTTGTTTTTCAACTTTTGCTATGACTTTAGAACTAATGTGACATGCCCCTGCCACAGCACGCTCCGGAGCGTGGGAGCAGCTGTGCCTGGACCGGGGGACGTCAGGGAGGAAGCTCCCAGACGACAGCTCAGTCCCTGGGGTATCACACCGCAGCTCACCTTTTAGCTCTGCCTTTTTCTCCCCGTGGGACCTTAGGCAACAGCCTTCCTCCCTCTGGACTGGGTTTTCCTCCTCCGTAGATGGGATGAGCATAGACGCACCTGGCAGGTTGCTTGTGACGTCGGAGTTGATGGGATTAGAGCACTCAGCAGAGCCCGGGGCTCAAGGATGCTGAATAACAAGCTACGACTCTGGGATTTCAGCACTGGCTTCAAGAAATTAAGGAAGAGACTAAAAACATATAGATACTGGGTCCAAACAGGTGAGAATAGAAAAAGGATGGAAAACAGAAACACAGCACGAAAATGTGTTCATTAACGACCCAAATAGCATAGGGAATGGTCTAGCCCAGTTTGTGGAGCTGACTCTGGGTACTTTTGACAGTTTGTTATGCAGCTTTGAGAGGATTTCAAACACTTACGTGGTTTATGATGTGAATGACACGTTTTGTTGTGGTAAGAACACAGAGTGAACTCCCCCCACCCTGAAAGAATGTGGTGTCATACCTTATCAGACCCCACATGTGTTATTGACCCAAACTACCGGGCTCCAAAATACCTATAAACCTGAGTTTGACAGACACGGTGCTTCCAACAGAACGTCTTGTGGTGATGGAATGTTCTAGATCTATGCTGTCCAATATGGCAGCCACTAGCCACAAGGCCATTGAGCACTTGGCATGTGGCTAAGGCAATGAAGTAAGTTTTAATTTTATGCGTTTCCTTACCTTTATGTCTAAACAGCCACATGTGGCTGGTGGCTCCAGTATTAAACAGGGAAGCGTCGACCACATTCAACAAGATGGGAACTGGAAGCCCACGGGCTAAACAGTGCTCAGGGCTACCAGGGCTGTCTGGAAAGTACCCAGCCACGCAACCATTCTCCTTCTATTAACAGTGGCTGGATACTTTCAGGACGGCCCTCATATTTGTTTTGGACCATGAAATATTCTTAAAAAAAATGTTTGAGTTACTAGGAAATACTTAAAAAGCCAGAAAACTAACCAAAAATAATTCAAATTCCAAGGTACACTTAAAGAAAAACCCAATCTGTTGGAACAAAGAGACATCTGCCTTCTTCAGAACACTTTAGTTGATCCAAAAACTCTGGTGTTGGGCCAAGATCAAAGATGGCCCAGAGCTGTGCCATCCAGAGTGGCAGCCGCTAGCCTCAGGTGGGTCTAGCATGATCCGGAAACTGAACTTGGTGTTTAACTTTCGATAGCCACGTGTGACGGGCGGCCACATCGGACGGCGCAGCTCCGCTGAACCACCCACTGCTTCGAATCCTGCCGCACCACCGATCATGTTCCACTGTGCTCGAGTGACTCACTCCAGAACTGTCCCCTCATCTATCCACAGGGTTGGCAACAGCGCCTGCGCCACAGCCGTCTTGAGCGCTCAGTGAGGCTGGCGTGGCTGGACTTGGCTCAGCACAGAGGGTGTCATAAACGGTTGCTGCAATTGTTGCTTCTTCTTCCCCATCTCCCTCCGTGGGGTAGGTTATCAGTAAGAAAGCAACATCCTTTCGAACCGCCAGGTGCCACAGATGCAGAACTTCCGCCCCTTGTGTTTCCGCACGCAAACACTTCCGCTAGAACAACACGCCCGGGTTGTCCCCACCGCAGCTCCCTCTTCTCCATGGGAGGAGGTAGGAGCTTTCCGATCGGGGTTCCGGGTGACGCTCTGCTTAGACCCTCCTTTGTGGCCAGTCTGCGCCCACGAGACCAGAATGAGTGTGCGCTGGTCTGGACTCTGCCAGGCAGAACCCAACTTTGCCATCGAGTTCTCTGAGTGACCGGCGGGTGAGCCCGTCCGATCGTGGAGTCGAGCACTTGCTAACCCACATGGCCACACACGACGGCCTCGTGCTCCAAGATGTCTTTATCTTGGAAGGTCACTGATTGATTTCCATTCGGCTGACTCCTGCCCCCAGCTTTATATTCATCTAGAGTTCAGTAGCGAGGACAGATGTGCTTTATTGGGTCTTTCTTACTCCCAGCAGGCCCTGACTCCCACCCTGGGCATATACACCTGCCAACTCCCCTCCCTCATGACTCGGGAACCTCAGTTAACACAATCCCGGTGACAGGAGTGGGACTCACGTCAGCTTCTGCAGGGTGCACTGTGGGGCCTTCAAGGCCTCGAAGAGAGGCTTCACACCCTCGTCCGTCACCTTATTCCCTGCTAGGCCGAGGTAGTTTAGGCTGATGGACCGTGTGGTAAGGACTTGGGAGATCATCAGGTAACCGGCCTGGCTTATTGCACAGAGATCCAACCTGCAGAGACAGGCAGCGTGAAACACAGCCTTGCCCTCGCCCAAAGCAACCTGCTTCCCCTTGCTGTGCACGCCAGCTGCTCCCGCCATCTTCCTGGTCCTCGGACGCTGCTCGCTCCTGCCTCAGGGTCTGAGCAGTTGCTGTTCCTCCATCAGCAGTATCCCTTCCTCTCGCCCGGGTCTTCGTGTGGTTCATTTTCACATTCAGGTTTCTCAACGGTCACCTTTTTGGAGTCAGCTGGCCTTATTGCCTTCAACCGTGCCCACCCTGCCTCGCTCCACTCCTCTCTATTCAACATTGTTACATTCACGGCAGCGAGCATCAGCTAACGCTCCATTTATATTTACGCTTGTTTACTGCCCGTCTTCCCGCCTAGAACATGCCATTTCGGTGAGGGGAGAGGCCTGCTGGCCTTGTTCCAGCTGCACCTTTAGCAGCTATGGTAGCGCTGGTACAGAGTAGGCACCAAGCATTTGCTGACAGGCATGACCTTCTGAAGTGACTGGCGGTGTTTACAAGAGCTGAGTGTGGATCTGCCTCATGAGCCAGCAATTCTACCCTCAAGTCTTAATCTTCTACTAAGCAAGTAGGTTAATATTTTTGTGACTCAACTTGTCATCTGGAAAATGGGGCTGATGATGCTACCGACCTCAGTGGTGCTTGTGAGGACTGGAACGTTAGAATACCCACCAAGCACGCCTGGGTGGGGCAGAGGCTGATGGTGCAAGCCTGTTTTTGCTTCTTCCGGGACACAGAGCTGGACTACGTTTTCCAGTCTGCCTTGCAGTGAGAATGGTCACATAACCAAGTGCCAGTTAAGAGAATGGGAAGGGAATTTGAGTGAGTGATTTGAACTACCTCCAGCCCAGGCTCATAAACCTCTCTGCTCTTGTGAGCTGAATCTCTAACACCCAGCAGGATTCTGGATGCTGTGTGTTAACACTAGAACCCCTGCTAGCCTAGGCATAGGACCATCCCTCGGCCCCACTGGTCTCAGATCATCTTCTTACATAGGCAAAAAATGCTTCTCTTGTTTCTGACCCATTATACGTCATCAGCTGTGTTTGTTACAGGACCCAACTAATAATCTGCTAGCACATGGAAAACAGTATCATTTGCTGTGTTGAATTTCAGACAGAACTTTTAGAGTTCTCCAAACATACATGCTCACGGT